ACACACACACAGACTTTGAAAGTTGAAACTTTAAGGCACAAATGTGGAATCTAATGAGCAAAGTAAACAAACAAAGAAAACAGACACAGACTCACAGGTAGGAGGACAGACCGGCAGCTGGGGCTGGGGCTGGGTGAGGCAGGTGAAGGGATTAAGCCAACAGCAGCCACAACCAAAAACTCACAGACGGACAGACAGACAGCGGCGTGACGGTGACCAGCGGGAAGGCGTGTGGGGCAGGTAGGAGAGCTCAGGGGGCAATAGTGGAGATGGAAGGAGGCTAGACTCTGGTGCTGAACACGCCATAAACATACAGACGGCGTGTTACAGAACAGTGCCCTTGAAACCTAGATAATTTTATCAACCAATGTCACCCCAATAAATTCAGTAAAAAAATATACAAACAGACGTGAAATCAGACCAAGGCCGGAGAGTGGACGCCTCGGCGGCTGAGCCCAGCCGCGAAGTTGAGCCGGAGGCAGCTGCCCGGGACCAGAGCCCTTGAACCAGCCGAATTCTATTTTCCGCTTAGAAGCGGCAGACAGGTCACCCAGGTCGCCTCTGGCAGCCCAGGGAAGGGGCCGGGAGCAGGCATGGGATCGGCTCCTGGACAGGTTCAAGGGGCTGCTCCTTGAACCGACTGCGTTCAGGCAGTTTACTCCTTTCAATGCACAGGAAAGTGCTTCCAACCAGCAGGGGCCGAGGGTAACCTCCAGCCCTCCAGGAAGGGTCCGGTCCTCAGCCTGCTCCGCGCCAAGTTTATCCCGGCAGGATGGCGGAGCAGTCGCCCTAACCCCCGGGGCTAAGAGGTGACACTAGGAAAACCCTCTGCGAAGCTAAGGTGCGGCTCACTAAATGATCAAGCCCACGGAGAATTCATTTATGCACCTGACCCGAAAGCTTTAGCACTCCGATGATTTCATACCTGGACTAACGCATACAAAACGGGGAGAAAAGGGCTCATTCATGTATTCAAAGTGTGTGGTTTTTATGAGACAAACCGCATCCCACAGAGCCAAGCATGACAGATGCAGCACATATATCCTCTTGGCACGAGAACACCCTTGTAAATGTACAATCGCATGTGGTAGGGAGACAAGTTGTGACCCGTCTGTGTCTTTAACTATCTACTATCCCATAGGACGATCTAGGGAGATGTAGTTCGGCCGGCGTGGCTCAGTGGTTGAGCGTGTGCACCAAGAGGTCGCAGGTTCGATTCCCAGCCAGGGCACATGCCCAGGTTGTGGGCCCATCCCTGGTGGGGGCCGTGCAGAAGGCAGCCGATCAATGGCTCTCATCCATGTTTCTCTCTCTCTCCCTCCTCTCTCTACAAGGCAATAAAAACGTACTGAGCCCTGGCTGGTGTGGCTCAGCGGTTGAGGGTTGACCTAGGATCCAGGCGATCAGGGTTCGATTCCCGGTCAGGGCACATGCCCGGGTTGAGGGCTCGATCAGTGACTCATCATTGATGTTTCTATCTCTCTCTCTCCCTCTCCTTTCCTCTCTCTGAGATCAATAAAGATATATTAAAAACAAAAACAAACAAACAAAAAAACATACCGAGCCCTGGCTGGTGTGGCTCAGCAGACAGAGTGTCAGCCATTGGACCGAAGAGTCTCTGGTTCAATTCCTGAGCAAGAGCATGGACCTGGTTGCAGGTTCAGTCCCCGGCCCCAGCTTGGGAGCTTGTGGGAGGCAACTGATCGATGTGTCTCTCACNAGGTTCGATTCCTGGTCAAAGGCTCTACCTGGGTTGCAGGTTCACTCCCTGCACCCATCAGGGCACGTGTGGGAGGCAACCAATTGTGTCTCTCTCACATTGATATTTCTCTCTCTCTCCGTCCTTCCCTCCCTCCCTTCTTTCCACTCTCTCTGAAAATCAATGGAAAAAATATCCTCAGGTAAGGGTTAATTTAAAAAAATAAAAAACATATTGATATATATATATTTGTAAAAGAGATGTAGGAGTGCTCTTCTCAGCACTGCCCGATGGAGGACCCTGGTTTTAAGCGCCGGCCCCTGGACCGGGAAGAACAGCCCTTCCAGGGGCAGGTGAGGAAGCCTCTGCGGGGAAAGCGCACGGCACTGGGCCTGACTGTCTCCAGTGACGCCGGAAACTAAAATTGAGCTGCATTCTCAGCCACACTCCTGCTGTGTCCCCCGGCAGGTGCAGCAGGTGTTCATTGAGAGAGCACCTGCCTTGCGGCTTCCACAGGAGTGTCCTCGGAAAGGCTGGGGGCGGATGTGCCCAGAGGAGAGGTCAGGCCTCTCCCTCGAGCTGCGGGGGCCCACGCGGGCTCGCCGTTGCCAGCAGAGAGGAGACGTTCACCGCACTGGCCCGCATCCGAGGGATGCCAGAAAGAGCCGTCCTGCCCGCTCACGGCGACCCCAGGCGTGCGGTGGGATCGAGAGCGCTCTAGCCCCCAGGTGCCTTGCAGCTTGTCTTCCCCGGTGCCCCATCGCCCGTTTACGACGTTTACAGAGGAGACTTTGTGCCAAGAGAAAAAGCAGCCCACTGCGCCCGCTCGCCGAGCCCTGAGTGGGGCTGTGCCAACCGCTGCCACCCTGGTCTCCGTACGTGAGGTGCTGTGCCCTTGGCCCAGAAGCCCCGCAACTTACGGAAAACGCAGACCCTGCGCGGCCGAGAGCGACGCCCGTGAATGTTCACCCAAGAAAACGCCCCCTCGGTATTCTACCTTTGACTGGTTATAAACGAAAACAAACTAAGCAAGGAAATAAGATTCTGCTAATAGTTCAAGCATTTGTTCCCTAACCTGGACTGAAAGGTGATCGCTTTGCAAAGTATTTGTCTAAAGGGTGGAGGTGAACGAGTAGTTCTTGCTGCGTGATTGTCAGTCATAAAAGCATTCAATTGTGTTAAGGACGTAAAATATAAGGATTACTCAGAAGCTCCCCAGCCCCTTTAATAATTTTTAAAGCTTCCTTGTATCAGGAAACCGATGAACAGGGTCTAGCATATGTTTCATCTTAATAATAGCTCTTAATGACGGGAGCACCAGCTATCCACACAGAGCACTTCAAAACCATCATTCTTCCAGTTCTCAACACTTTAAACATTTTAAACAAAAATCACTAAGTTTGAAATCAGTTCTACACATGCTTCCCTACATTAGTTAGCTGTACTTTTAACCTAATACTTTTTCTTTAAGTCAGTAAGACCATCGGCCTCAATCTTCACAGACGTCCACCTTTTCTTTCTTTCTTTACTGTTATTTTTGCTTGTTTTACACCACCTGCTGTTTTTCTAGATGACCGAGAGCCTTAACGAGGTGGAAGGAGGTTTGTTTGACACGTCAGGGTCCCGCCTCCCAGGACGTGGGTCGTTTTGTTAGGGGACCGAAGCCCAGCCTGGCTCACGGAGTGCGTCAGGGCTCATGAGAAATACTGATCTTGAGAGATGTCCTCTGTCCTGCGGACCCTTTCAAACCGAAGGGCCACCAACCTGGGCCAGACGGCGCCCCGGGAGGCCGCCGGTGCCACCTGGGCAGTGACCACCTGCAGGAGACAGGGCACCTGAGCACCCAGGGCGGGCCACCTGTCAGGTTTCTGAAGCTGCCCGGAAAGGGAGGCAGCTCAGCCCCCCACTGCAACTTCGTAAACCCCCAGGGAGAAGCAGTGAGGTTTCGCTCCGGGGTCAGGTGCGGTGTTCCCTGCCGGGCCCTGCCCTCACCCACCGGCGTCCTCCCTCGCCTCCCGCGCTGGCCGCCGCCCCGGCGCCCCCGGGGCCCGGAGAGGCAAAGGGCCCCTCTTTACCTTTGCAGACGCCGAACTCGTCCCCGAAGTCGTCCTCCTCACTGTAAAAGTGGCACCTGAGCCCCGGGCCGCACTTCAC